GAGGAACTTGTGTCACAACATACATAATGCCACTTTTTCCAGCTACAGATGCCTGTGGTTCTGGCTTCGCCTAGTGAAGCGCAGACCACATTCAGTACTTTACCTCCTATTCTTGGATAAGTCAGCTGTCAGCTCGTCCAAGCAAAATGGAGTTAATGAGGCATTGGCTCTTGTAATCTCCCTCAGATTTGTTCACCTGGGGTATTGCAAGCCACATTTTGATAATCCCCATTATAAAATATTAATGTTGAAATTATTAAGGACAAAATTGCATTTATAACTGCTGTCAAAAAGATCAGAAGCCACTTCTGTATAATATTTTCTTTTTCTATTTTCTTTCTTACTTATTCATTATTCTTATTTTCTTTGTTTCTTTTCTAATATTCGTATTGTTTTTATCTTGTTAGAAATTTCTTCAATAAAATTATATTAAAAAATATTAAGGACATACAACTTACTTGGACTGGGAGGCATTTATATGTTAACCATTTAAAAACAATAATATTAATTTAAAATTTATCAACAGCATAGTGTAATCTAGAATGTAACAATTACCGGAAAAGTGTTATTAAGAGGTAATTGTTATTGTTATTTATTTATATTTATTTGTTAGAGTTATACCTGACTTTTCTTCAAAACTTCAAGGTAGCTTTCTTGAGGTCTCCCTTCATTTTACTCCTATAACAGGAATCTTGTGAGGTAGGTTAGGCTGAGAGAAAATGGCTGGCCAAAACCCACCAAGCAAATTTCTGCAGATAAGGTAGAAATAAAAGTAGTTCTCCCTTGTTCAAGTCCAACATCTTAGCACACTAGCTATCACTGCACTTAATTTCAAAGTGATAAAAATAGTTTGCAATAATGAGTATCATAATTTTGATTGGTTGCAGATAAAACAATATGATTCAATTTGTATTCATGTGTTCTATTAATATAATCATATATTAATAATTTTGAAAGAGCAACATGTGAATAGGTTATTTCAACATAAATGTTAAATTAATCTTGTACAAGACACCCTCCAAAAGAGGGAGTTGCTGTTTGCATACTCGCACAAGATTTTTCAAATGTTATGCTGCATCTTTGGTAGAAAGTAGAAATAAGAACAGTGAGTTCAAAATCATTGCTTTACTCTCATGCATTTTAAGAATGTTAATGTGAGTATGCATTTGAAACACATTTTGGGGGATGGTTGGTATAGTTGGGATTTTGAAAATAATGTGGTGGGTACTATTAGAGCATGGCTCTGTATGTGTGGCTTGCCTAGTCATAAAATGGCTGCTATGAGGCTGTTATTTAAACTAGTTAAAATGACAGATTTAACAGAACATAATTTATTGCTCCCTCTAGCACCCTCTCCTGTGGGATGCTCCCTCCTTATACTTGCGTAAGTTAGTACATTTCTGGATAAAACACTGGACTGACTTTTTTTTTTTTTTACTTTCTAAGAAACCTTATGGAGCCCAGAATGATTATTGTAAATAAAGTTGATGCTGGAAAGTGGCTAGCAATCTGTAACAATGCTACTTCTGGGGGCATCCAAAACATTATGTTGCAGAGAACTCCATTTGTTCCTAAAGTTGCTTTAAGATGGCACACCTTTCATAAAGATTGAAATGGCTCATTTTGCGGTAGAATAGCCTGGTTTGGGGTTAAAACATGGCCATGAGAGAAGTGAGACAACAACTAGGTACTAGAAAAGAATTAAAAATAAATATGGCTATGTCCATAGGCTCAAAAAAAAGAAAAAGAAAAAAGAAGAAATGAATAATTATAGTTAATACAATATATGAACAAATAATTTGGTTATGTGTTATGAGTGTTTTGCAACAAACAGTATACATTTTTAAAATTATATATAGATACCTCTGGAAGTTAACAGATGTCACTGCCCTGTTTGTGATGTATCTTATAATTTGAAATAAGTTGTATCTGATTGGTTTTCACTGGGTATGAGAGAATTTCCATGATTTAGTCTAATTGTTTTCTAAAACTTCTGGACATGCCTGTAATTTGTGGTAGTGAATTTAGTTGTGTGTTGTATCAAAAGCTATTCTCTTTTGTTTCTTCTTAACCTTTTTTCCAGTCATCATTTTTGAATGACTCTAGATGACTGTGGAAAGTATGATTCTCTTCTCTATGTTATATGATTTACAAATAGTTTCTTTGGTTGTACCAGTGAGAAGAAATTATCTCTGCCCTTATTTATCCATTCCAGAGAGAGAATTAATTGTAATTTTAGGCAAAAATTAACATTTCACCATAAGGTCTTGGTGAATTAATTTTGGCAAGAAAACAGTTTGTTCTTTTAGTTATTGATTTTAAAGTTGTGTCATCCGTTGGAAGCATGCTTCATTTGTACTAATGTAAGCCTTGAAGTTTTAAAAATAGCCTTCCTGGCACCAGACAGGAGATATTATTAATTTATAAGATCCAAATTCAGAACATCAGAAGATTTAAGATAATATCCAAAAAGGATAATTAATCAACCACCAAACAAAAGGATTAGGGTGGGCTTTTAAACTTTCAGCTAGCAATGGTCAGTGCCCAGTGGTAATCATAAAAACAAGCTATATCCTTTAATCACTGAAGTTTCTATTGTGGGACCATCTTCCTGTCTTCTTGATGGTATGGTTACCAAAAGCTAAATACACTACAGTATAACAAATAGAAATACTGTATCTCCTTGCACAGAAAATATTCTTTTCACTCCCGATGTTCCAAGTCTGAATTCCTCCCCTTACAGAAATCTGCCATTCTCTCTTTTTTCCCCTCTATCATATGAAGAATATTTATTTATTTATTTATTTGCTTGCTTGCTTGCTTAGGAGCTCTTCTTTATTAATGGCAAAAAAATAGATGGTTAAAAAAAGGTTCAGTAAACTTTGTACAAGCAGTCCCAATATTTATTTGTATGCTAAGAGCTGAATATATCTCACTCTTGCTCTCATTTTATAAGAGGTGGTATATTTGATATTGATATTGCCAGCAAGATATATTTAAAGAACACTTAGAGTACATGTCTCTCCAGATAATTTTCATACCTAAAAGAATGAAGACAGCATCTGTTATTTTTATGTCTACTGTACAATATTTCTGCTTACTATGAAACTTTGTTCAGCATTTCTAAATAATGTCTGCTTTGAGTAAAGAGCTGCTGCACATTCCAGTATTACGTGTAGAAGATGTAAAGCAGAGCTACACATTACTTGAGTGACTTATGTCTGAATCCTGATGTAAATGTTTTTCAAATTCATTTTAGGTCCATGAATTTTTAGAAAGGTAATTAATTGTCTGGAGAGCAGCTAATTTTACTAATTATTTTCCTCATTAATGCTGTCAGTTTTTTAATGTACTTTTAGTGGTATAGTCTTTCTCAGAATTTAGGCTGAAAATTATCATTATTTTGACTTTTATGCCCACTTCCCCAAAGGCATATATAAGATTAGATTGTTAGTCTATGTTATAATCTTAATTGCATTTCTTATATGGATTGAGACACCCTCACTCAAGGATGCATTCACCACCACCAGTACCCACCTGTTCATTACCTCCCAAGAGGCCTTTACCAGCCAGGCAGGACACAGATCTAAAACCCAGGTGGCCAAACTCACATTTCCTAGGATCCTATCCACTTTCTTAGGAGTAACAGGGTCAAACTGTTCCCAGATAACTGGGCAAGAACCTACCCCAGGCCAGTGTCCACGCCAACATCCAACTGGGAACGAATTGGAGTAACTTTATCTGTCAGAAAATCAGAAAATTCTTCAGTGCATCCCTGCAGGTAAACCTTTGAGTCCTCCTTACCCAAAAGGAATCAGATCACCTTAAAGTGGGCCGCTGGGCGATTTTCTGCAGATGCAATTAGTGAGGAGAAGTATTTCCACTTCACCACACGAATCGCCACAAGGTAGGCTTTAATATCAGCTCTTACCCCTGTTCGGTCGAATTCATTCTTCGCCTTCAGCCAGCGATACTCTAGACATCCCTTGATCCACTTCATCTCTCTCAGTTCCTCCATATACCACGGGGCATGGTGAGGTCCACAGGTCGAGTGGGGTTGCTTGGGTGCAATCCTGTCTAGAACCTCAGTCACCTCCCTTTTCCAGGTGGTGACTAGGGTCTCAGCAGAACTACGCAGCAGATCCTCAGTTATAACTGACCTGGTAATCTATCAGTTTGAGTTTGGAAGTTGAACACTTAATTTATTTTTCATGGCCATAATGCCCAAGAAATTTATCTGGCATATGTGGGGCAGTCATATAGCATGTAAACTACCCAGAGTCACTCTAGAGTTAGAGGGGC